CAAATATACCCCAGCGACTTAACACTGCTTTTGTGCTCCATGGTCACATTTTGTTAACCAGTGTCTTTACTGCTGACCTTCAATGATCCAATTCAACCATACGAATAAGCAAAAATGATTTTAGATAAACTTTTATATTTTCGGCTTTTACATTTGCCAAAAGTAGAACTGTTTTATATTAAAAACAAACAAACAAGCCCAGCCCAGATGAGAAAAAGTAATGCAAAAGTAACAATGCATTACTTTCCTAACGCAATATTATAATGCATTACTTTTAAAAGTAAGTTTCCCCAACACTGTCAGTCGGTCAGTCTTTGAGCTCCTCACCTTCCTTCAGCATGCCCACTTTCAAGCACTTCATGAAGCGGCACGCCTGACAGGACTTGCGTCTTCTTTTCGTGATCTCGCACTCATTGGTGGCCGGACAGCTGTACTCGATGCTACCTGGTGAGAGACAAAGAGACAAGAGAAAAGTGAGGCGCTTTCCACTCGCAGGACGTCGCTCCTGTCTGCTCGTCCAAAAATAACCCAACGAAAACAAGCTAATGCAGGAGAGTTATACAGCGCGCCACTGCATCCATCAAAGCGATCAAAAGAACGCTCTATAAATCACTTTATTTATAAAATCATCTTTTACTCAATTTGATAAATTGACTGTGGCCGCGAGACACTACAGAACAGGGACAGCGTGTGCTGGAAAGATGAAGAAACATGAGCCAACAAAACAGATGAGACAGGATTCAAAACAAAAGATACCTGTGCTTTCAGTGCTTCCATTCAAATCGCACCTCGCCAAATTACATTCACAAATTCAGTGCGCATTTGTGCACGCCGCTCGGCCCGCTTTACATAATACCCGACCCAAACCTAGGCCGGTTCTGCTGCTCGCTCGCTATTTACATAGAGAATAACCAGCTACTGATACATTATTCAAGCTGAGCGCTTCAGCGCTTGATACCTGCACAATAAAAGAGCCGTTTGAGTGGCATTGTGCGAGTAACAATAGGCAAAGTGCTTGATACACTCGGCCATTCTGCGTGTGTCCGTGTACATTTAACTGCGGCGAGGCATTTAAATTAGGACATGTATGGGTAATGGCAGGAGCGACGGCTAAATGCAGAATGACAGTCACCAGACAGCGCTCTTGTTCTTGTGCGAGCGTGTGGTTTGAATGTCTATGTGGACGGTGCTCGCTCAATATATTCAGCCTTGTCTTGATCACTGAAGACGTTGTGCTGAATAAAAACAATATGCTCTCTGACATATACTGTACGGCTGAGGAAAACAACACTCGCTACAGGACGATGACGGGATTCACCAGAAAACATCTCTAGAGCGATATCTCTGTGTCGATGAGTGTGCAACTTTTATATAGTTGGTAAATAGTGTTGCTTTAGTGCAGTGGGCTGGTTCTGGCAACCAACTCAAGGAAACATGCACAGATTTGAGTCCCAATAATGCATTTTAGGTCTTCTTATTCATAACAAAATATCTGTTTTCAACTACGGTGTATTTAGTGTAAATATGTCTGTTCATTGTAACCTTACATAAATAGTTCACTCAAAATGTCTCACTGATTTTGTGCTAATTACAGCCCTGATATATATCTCACACTATTTGCTTTAAAGAAATAACACATGCTGCAATTAAATATATTTATTTGACATAATATTTACCAAATTATAACTAAATCATCTGAAAATTAATCAATATAAAATTATTTGAACGTCATGAAATAAGAAACATGTGAAATATACAGATTTATACTTCAGATAGCAACTTTTAATGCTATTATAGTATTTTTCACAAATTCAGAAACTGCTGGGAGCTCCTGTGCATCCGCGCTCAGCACTGTCAGAATAAAAGTCCCTTTTCCGATACTTATTGGCCAAACAGAAAAACATATCGGCCGACGACAAAACGAAAAATGATAGACTACTACTCAAGTCAAGTCACAATAACTATATTTCTAAAGCGCAATACGGATTGTTTACAAAGCAGCTTCACAGTAATAATAACAGTGTTAATGTTGCTAAATTAATCAATTATTAAACAAATTGAATTTCAGCTGTAAAGCAACTTAACAGAAGACAATAGTGTCATCATTCAGTTCAATGTTGATTCAGTTCAGATCAATAACAGTGTCAAGTGTTATTATCAAGTCGATAGCAGTGTTGAGGGTAACGCATTACAAGTAGCACAGAACGTAATCAGATTACTTTTTAAGTATCTAGTAAAATAACACAATACTTTTAAATTTGCAACGAAACAAAGTAACTTTTTCAAATAAGTAACGCGGGTTACTTTGTTTTCCCATTTATTCACAGACATCTCTCTTGTCCCCGTGTTGTGAGAAATCGTGAGTAAGTGCAGACGTACTTCCTTTAGCCTGAGGCTTATTAATTTCACTTTTGGTGTGAAAGGACCTTTAATTTGCCAAAAATAGAACTTGTTTTTTTGTTATTTAAATAGAAACAAGCAAGCCCAGCCCAGGTGACAAAAAGTAACGCTAAAGCAATGTAATGCACTACTCCATAAAAAGTAACACATTTAGTTACTTTTTATGGAGTAAGGCAATATTGTAATGCAACAATAACTTTCCCCAACACTGGTCGATAGTATTTTTGAATGTTAATTGTCTCTTAAGCCCAAATACAAATTACATTTGTTATAATTTACACATTTTATATTAAGTAGCTTCAATGTCCAGTAACGTAGTGTTGAACGACTTCTTCAAAAGAACAGCCTGTCTGCGGTTGAACTACGTTTTTTGACAGATATAGTTTTCAAGAAGCTTACCAATACTGTAAACCTTTTTTTAAAGCTTTCTTAGTTAATTAAATATTTAGTAATTTACATTTTACACTGGATTAGTGCGTGCAGTTGGTACAGTTATACTGTAAATCTATCTCTGAACAGGTCAGTAACGGTTGCAGATGAAGCTTCTCCGTCAGCGTTCTCCTGCTTTGCTCTCTGAAATCTTCCACAAACGCTTCCATCCCCCATTCCCAACTTATGCAATTATGTTAACATTATTGCACAGATCAAGTGGAGGGTCCCAAGATGTATTAAATAATTAGACATCCCCGCTTTTATCTGGGTTATACGAATCAGTATGCAAATGTAGCAGATCTCTTTGGGTTTGGGGTAAATAAAGGTGTGAAAATTAATGTTTTCTCTTCCTGTTTTCCCATTTGTTGTCACGACCAACTAAACAGCGCTAATCAAACACATTTCCTGTGCGTTTCCAGATAACAGATTCATGGTTTTCCCACAACTAGAATGTGCAGCGCCTCATTCCTCCTTCATCCTATCATATTTTCTGCAGAAGGAAAGGCTGAGACTTCCTATTCTGGGATGCGTCCCTGCGGGATCATTACGGAGGATACGTCTTGAATTGCAGTGTTGGTTAGCGTATCGCGGCCGTCTGATTAGCACTCCATCAGGAGACTGACGGCTCTCATTCCCTCTCAAATATGCTGCTAGTCTCACGTAAACACACTTCTGACTATCGGCATAAGGTCTGGTCCACGTCGCAGATTATTCTGGCCTCAAAGTGCAGCAGAGAGGAAGAGGCCAGAATAAATTACATTGAGAACTAGGTCTTGTGCTGATATGTAAGGCGAACAACCACAGCTGAAATTAGCAGAAGACATTAAAAGGCTGATCACTATTTTTGGATACCTTGGTTAGGGCTGCACAATTTGGGGAAAAATGTTTGATTTTTCTGATAAAAATTGTGATTGTTATTTAAAATGCAATAAAAATGTTGTGATTATATATGATTATAAAATATGAATAAAATACTATTGATAAATATTATTATTATTATTATTA